TTTTTTTATTCCACAACTTTTTTGGCCATCACTTAACGTAAATTATCTCCTCTGATCTTTCATTATTGTTATAGCTTAAGAAGTTTTATCTAACTCCCACTGGTTGGAACTTCTTTTCCCCCTCGTTTTTTTTTGTTAAATTTCATACCGTGAACGAAATTGTTTCATATATTTAAAAAATATATATATAAAAAATTCTATAACCGGAGAAGAAATGGCCTCTTTATGCAGTTTTTAATTTCTCTGAACGAAAGATGCTATCTTTGACGGTAATAATAGAAGTACTTATGACTTGTAGGATAATGTGCATCACACGGAACCGTATCCTATCCTTCAATTTAATGATGGGTTTGTCCACTTATCAACGAGGTGGAAGTGCAGCCACGGCAATAGGGTATGTGCTAGGTTCCATGGCTTTTTCTAAGAATGAGCGCTCACCTTTCATTTTCATGGTCTTCATTGTCCTTTATTTACTTTTTTTTATTCACAGTATCCTCCAAAAAAGTGTTCAGCTGCTCTGGTCGTCATTTGGTCCCCACTGCGAATTCTTTAGTGGGAGTTCATTTCGATCAAACTTGAAAGATGCCTTTAACCTTTACAATTACCAAATAAGAGATACTAGAACCCTCATGCATGCAATTTTTGTCTTACTGAAAAATAAGAAACTTGAAAAGCGATCATGAAGAACTTATGCTTGTATGTTCACTACATAGGGTCAAAACTGGTTATTCAGGTAGGACCCGTAAGAGGCGGGGTTTCGTCCACTTGCTTGCCTGGCGTTCTATCTCCACAACAATTGAGGTACAAGCTAAGCTCTCCAAGATCGAGCACGTGTCTATTATTTCTTGAGATTTTCTTTTGCGTAGTAATGCCAACTATTCCAATGTCATTCAGTTGGTGATCATCATTTTGTCCCCACTGAAATCTTTCTTCGATGGTGGCTGTCATCTCAGCAAGCAGGTAATGGGAATCCCCTTTATGGGCAAGTAAACTCATCCTTTTTACTTTTCGAGATGCAAATAGCGTATGACATACATATCTTCTGTTTTCGTTTTGTCAAATTTATCTCCATTTGGGATCATACATCTGTACATTGCACCGTAGCAATCTCAAGTTTTCATAATTTTGTAGGACTGCTGCTTTGCTTACTCGTACCAATTACGGCAAGCTCCATCTGAGCACCTGTCGAGCTCTCTGGCTGCACCTGTAATGAGCTCATTTGAGAGGCAGCTCCATTTTCACCATTTTTTCCCCTCTCGGTTCATCTGTACTCTGTATAGCTTAAGCTTAAAAGGCATACCCCTTGAAACCAATTACTGAATTACTGTCTCAGACGTAATGGCCGTCGTGTGATCCCTTGGTTGATGCAGAAGATAGTTGTACGTAAGGAATTTGGAGAAAGTAGACAAGACCCTGTTTTCATGGATGATCCGGACTTTTCGTTGTTCATCTATAGCCAGCTTTTGTTTTCATATCTTCTTGATCAAGCTCAGTGGTCTGCACGTGGATGACAAGGCATGGCTGCTGGAAGAGGAATACCAAAAGTGGACCGAGTAAATAAAAGAACACTAAGAACACAGCTTGCTTTCGTGATTGGATCATTATGCTACACGGTACAAAAAATGGGTTGCTATCTAAATGGACAAAACACGGTACTATGATTACACCGAACATCACGGTTTTGGAAGATGAAAAGAAGAAAAGAAGTGGACCATATAAGATGTATATTGACAGTTTAGGGGATGTGTTCGATCCTTGTTTGTGAAGTAGCTCTCTTTCTAAAGTTTGCATTCACAAAACTTGTAAAGATAGCATCCACCTTCAAAAGTGCACTAAGTAAATCTTGACTGTAATAGTTAGTTTGGGATTTCAATATGTACTGATAATTTAACAATGTATTAAAAGAGACAGAGACCCATCTGTCAATGCAACTATTATTCATCCATACTTGTTGGGATATGGAACCTTCTAAAGATCTATAGAAATATATTTGATGGATATTTCGTAAAAGATCTCCCTTTTGTAAAGGTCTGGAGATATTTGGTAAAGATTTGATAGTGATATATTTGGTAGATTATATATATGTTAAATGTTTGAAAGTTAAATTTAGTAAATTGAAATCCTCTATTGGGCCTTGGTTTTAAAATGTACATTTTTTTTCTTTACCTCTTGTTGTACATGCTATAGCTAAAGTCATCCATAAAACTTAGTCAATATTCCTCCTTGAATTTTTTCTACTGTTCTTTATGTTCATCTTGATCAAGTGGGTGCATAATATTATAATTGAAATCGTCTGGTACTGATCTTTCTCAAATTTAATATGCTTTGTCATATGATGTTGAATAGGATTGTGTGCAATATTGATTGCACAATTTGGACAATAGCTACGAAGGTTCTAGACTAGAGAAGTATAGATGCGACTAGAGAAGTATAGATGCGACGTGTAATGTTACTAAGGGGCAATCATTACTTATTGATCAATAAGAAGCAGTTCTTCACGTGCATGTGTAAGACTTAGAGGTATCCATGCTTATATCACAAAGGGTAAAAAGAGATTGTAAACCATGAGATGGGAATCATGGGTTGAGAGTGTGCGTGTTTTATGGTACAATAGTGGAGGTGAGGTTCATTGTAGGGGTTTGGTGGAGGGCAGTTGGAATAATGTTGATTTTGTGAATGAGAATATTTGGTGTAAAGGGTAATAAATGGCGAAACATGATTGGGTTATACAAGATATTTGCCTATAATAAAGTATCAAATATGATATATATGGTAAACTATAATTTCACTAAATATTTTCAACATTGAACGAGAGTTGTATGTGGAGAGTATCAACTCTCTCGAATAGCAAGATGATATTTTATCTTTGAGATTGTTGCTAGTTTTATCAAACGGACTTAATAACCAACTGTCTATTGAAGAACCCTCTATGGTTGGTTCTTAGATTATATGTAATTGTGTATTTTTCTGTGAGTTTAACAGGTGATTTGGGTATAAGATATCAAACAAACTAGCATCCGAGCACGTTTTCCACCCTATGGAGAACACAAAAAACGGCCGAAAGGCGAGATGAAAGAGGTTTTAGCAAACATGGAAAAGAACCGGATAAAGAAAAATTGAAGTTGATGAACATGGAAAGAACCCCCGTATGTTTTAGTAGGATAATGCAACGCTGCCACCCGCCAATGGAACGACCAATTGTCGAAGGAACATTCCTAACCAATGGAACGAGGCTGCCACTTCCTCGGAACGGTCGAACAACAAAAACCATCAATGTCTTAAAACGTTCGTGCACAGATTTACGTGAAATAATCCTAAGGGCTTTCACTTCGACACGTCTTCGCTTGTAGTCGCTTAGAGTCTTAGGCTCATCTTTCACTTTTCCATCTTCAGCTAGTTTATTCTGTACTCTTTGTTATATTTCAGATGAGTATCTCCAAGTACCTCACTATTTTCGAGTTGGATTAGGTGGTCGAGTTGTTTTTTTTTTTTCAATTATTTAAAAAATATTACGTCTAACACATTACTAACATTTGTTACAAATGTTAAATACTCTTAATGTTATTAATGTCACAAATGTTTACAAGGTATCTCACTATTTTCGAGTTGGTTAGGTTGACCTGACAAAAAAAAAAACTCCAAATCAAACTGAATTTTTCAATTTTTCAAAAATTCATCTGAATCATAAAAAAATCTAATCAAACTCAATCTTTATAGTTTAAGATAGATGTTCTAAAAGATCATTTATTCTCTTTTAAATTTAAATGGTAAAATATCTTTATAGTTTAAGATAGATGTTCTAAAAGATCATTTATTCTCTTTTAAATTTAAATGGTAAAATGCACAAAAATCGAAAAAGGTTAATTTTAAATTTTAGTCTTCATTAATTTTTGTAGCAACATTATTTTAATAATTTCTTTGTAAACTTTTTTCATAAGTAAACTATAAAAAAAAATATATATATATATATATAAAATATACGTAAAATTGATTTACCATGATTTCAAGACATAAATTTTAATACAATAAATTATCGAGTAGAATACACTTAAGAAAAATTGAATTTTGAACTACAAACCTTATTTTAATACAATAAATTATCGAGTAGAATACACTTAAGAAAAATTGAATTTTGAACTACAAACCTTATTGTCTCGAACATAATAACTTCTTCGTGATGTCAGACATCACCCAACATTTTGGAGCTCATGCCACCACAAATACACATAAACTAAATTATCAATATGATTAAATTAATCATATGTTGTGGTTTAACTTTTTAAGTTAAAGTATTTATAAAATTATTTTATTTTTAATTGGTATTAATTTCTATTGGTTGTGGTTTCTACAAACTGAATAATATTAAATTAAATTATTTATTTTAATCTAAGTTTACACATTTTTTAGTTAGTTTGCATGGAAAGGAAGGTGATGTAATCCAAACAGCCTACCAAACTAGATAATGAAAATAAATAAATAAATAAATAAATAAATAAATAAAAGAATTCCATATAACCATTGGTCAAACTTACCATTAGAGATTGTAAAGGGGATTGGCCACCAAAGTCTAATTTTCAATATTCATATTGCATTTCCATAGTGTTTTGGTGCCATCAATTAATGATGCCCAAAAGTCTTAATCAGCCTTCCAATATATTGATGGAAGTTTGGACTAAAACGCTTCTAATTTTACCCACTGTTTTTTAGAATGACCAAAACGTTGAGGTTTGTTGGAGTCACACGTTTATTAATTAAGACAAAGATTGTGAGATAGAATGACCAAAACGTTGAGGTTTGTTGGAGTCACACGTTTATTAATTAAGACAAAGATTGTGAGATCCCGCATTGGAGAGGAGAACGAAGCATTTCTTATGAGAGTATGAAAATCTCTCCCTAGTGGACGTGTTTTAAGACCTTGAGGGAAGCTCGAAAAGAAAAACCCAAAGAGAACGATATCTACTAGCAGTGAGGTTTGGCTGTTACAAATGGTATAAGAGCTAGACACCAGTCAGTGTGCCAACGAGAACGTTAGGTTCCCAAAGGGAGTGGATTGTGAGATCCCACATCAATTGGAGAGGAGAAATAAACATTTTTTAAAAGAGTGTGGAAACCTCTCCATAGTGGGCACATTTTTTAAATCTTGAGGGGAAGCTCGAAAGGGCAAACCTAAAGAGAACAATATCTACTATGGGCACATTTTTTAAATCTTGAGGGGAAGCTCGAAAGGGCAAACCTAAAGAGAACAATATCTACTAACGTTGAGCTTGAGCCGTTACAAATGGTATCAAAGCCAGACACCAGTAGGTGTGCCAGGAGGACACTGGGTTCCCAAAGGGGATTGTGAGATCCCACATCAATTGGAGATGAGAATGAAACATTTCTTAAACGGTGTGGAAACCTCTCCCTAATGGGCACGTTTTAAAACCGTGAAGAAGGCTAAAAAAGGACAATATCTACTAGTGGTGGTTTGAGCTCTTACAAAGATTATCAGTATATAAATAAGCAACCTTATCTCCACTAGAATGAAATCTCGCGAGGGTTTATGCTCAAAGTAGACAATATCATGACACGGAATCATTTTCATTAGATCAGTTTTAACATTCTTGCTCGATATTCAAGTCTTTCTGGAAGTGATTTAGCAAATTTGTGGTTGTGTATCAAGTGGGTTCACGGTCTGAGTCAAAAGGAACCAAAAGTTGCTCGATATTCAAGTCCTAAGTCTTTTTGGAAGTGGATTAGGAAATTGGTGGTTGTCTAGTTCATGGTTGAGTCAAAGGGAACCAAAAGTAAAAGGGAAAGTTGAGCATATTTGATATCACATGCAATGCAAGCACTCAACAGTGAGCAAGGAGAAGCCCTAGATTGGAATCACCACTGCAACCAAAACTCAAAGTGATAGGGTTTGTGGTGCGCATGGGCTCAGAATTTGATGCCTATTATCAAACCCACTATCCATCAAAAGCTTAGAATACTTTTCTTTTTTAAGGATTTGATCGCACTTATTATTATCATCCATTTCATATTGGCTATTCTTTTAATTCCATACACACTGTTCCTCAACTTTCTTGTGTGCCATCCCAAAAATCCCGATAATCAACTCAACTTACTTGTGTTGTTTTGGTCTTATTCGTAAAAAAACATTAATCAGATCGAACGGACTTTCGTTCGTGAATGTATGTTGAAATAGTTTGATATAGCCTTAGGAATAACTCAATGTGCAGTGGGAGACGAGTCTCGAGCACACACAACTTTAATTCATTAACTCAAAAAAAAAAAAAAACCCTCAAACTTTTTATAAACTTTGAAAAGTTTTAATAATATTCTTTTAAATTAAAAAAAAAATCTAAAAAATATTCTTTAAACTTAATTAATAAAACAGTACCATTTAACTTTTAAAATGTTTTCTATAATACTTTTGAGTTATAAAAGTTTCATTAATATATTTAAAAATACTAAAAAAAACTTTTAAAAATAACATAAAATGAATTATCAATATTGACAGATAATTTTTTTTAAATACTAAAAAAAACTTTTAAAAATAACATAAAATGAATTATCAATATTGACAGATAATTTTTTTTATATAAAAATAAAAGGTATTAATACTACCTCTAAAATTTAATTTGTATTTCTTCAAACCCCTAATGATATTTTTTTAACTTTTAAAGAAAATTCAAAAATATTAATAAATTTTTTTAAAATTTAAA